GAATTCTACAGTATCTCAAGAAAAGCGCAGGTAGAGAGTTTTACTTTAAGAAAACCTCAAGTAGTGAAGTTGAGGTATTCACTTATATGAATTTGGCATGATTCTTAACTGATTGAAGATCAACTACCGGGTATTGTTCCTATATGTAGGGGAATTTGGTAACTTGGAGAAGCAAAAAACAGTCTGTAGTGGCAAGAAGCAGTGCAGAGGCATAATTTAGGACAATGGCTCATGAAATATGTGAAGGAATATGGTTTTAAAGAATATTTAAAGAACTTGAAATTACATTAAATCTCACTATGACAGTTTTATATGATAATAAAACTTCCATAAGTATTGCACAGAATCTTATTCAACACGACCGAACTAAACACGTGGAGATAGACGGCCACTTTATCAAAGGGAGGATGGAAAGAGGAACAGTCAAACTTATCTATACTCCATCTATCCGCCAAACAACATATATTTTGACAAAGGCACTTCCAAAAGTAAACTTGAAAAATATGAAAAGCAAGTTGGGAATGCTAGGCATCTACCATCCAACTTGAGGGAGAGTGTAGAAATATGGAATTACAATTAAATGCCAAAATTAATGGGATTCAGTTAGGATCAGTTTTTTATTTTAAAGAAAAGAGAATATCTTTTAATTAGTTGTTATTTCCTTCTTTAGTACCTAGAGATATTGATTGCATAATATGCGACTATAATTTAGTAATTCAACTTGTATATATACTCTCATTCTGTAAAATATATAGAAAAAATAAACAATATTTTTACAATCACCAATAACTTCATTAGCAACAAGGGATGCATCAAGTATTTACCTTCCTGCCACAGAAGCACTCTAAGTATACAAAGTAATATCACCTAAGACCCCACTAAATCTTAAAAGAAAACCTTTGTGACAGTCTTGTAAGTGCTAGTTACTAGACTAGATCTTTCTTTGATACAAGAATAAGGAAAATAGAATTGATCCTAACACAATTCTTTCCATTAAGATGTAAAAAACTTATTAAATTCCATAATGCTAGTGCAACTAATTATTGTCAGAAAACCCCCTAGCATAAATTCCAAGGCTAGATGTCCACCCATAAGCATATTCTTGATTTCCAAACAGAGGGAAGACAGTATGTGAAGCATTTTTCTCATAATAAGCTATTTTTATAAACATGTAGTTTCAACTAAACATTGCATATGAAGTTGATATGGTAAGGTTGACGGACAACGAGCAACATAATAAATAAGCAAGTCAATCTAAAGAACCTTTCAAGTATCAAATATAAGCATACCTTGCATTTGCTAATGCGGTAGAAAGACCTACAAATCGTACTGGACGTTCTGTTTGTGATGATATATATCTCATCCTTGAAACAATAACCTGATTAGAAGAACTTGAGAAGTTCAGATTTCCAAAGAGATTAAGACTGAAGGCACAGAATTTTTGTACTTTTTGTTAAAAGTAAAATTTCATAAACTATACAAATTAATAATAATTTATTTAGAATAACAATGGAAATACTAATAACCATAAAGTATCAAGGCAACCAGATCAGCATTAATACATCAAGTTTTCAGCGGCTATAGATGCCTAGAAACAACTAATACACTTCCCCCTTGCCAAGCTCATATGCAATGATTAACTCGTTACTCAAAAGTAGCGATTTTACCATGATAAGTAAACGTAGAAAAGAAGATCTTCAAGTGGAAGGTTTTTAGCTGCAGAGTTCTTTTTCCTTAATTTTTCCAAGAGAAAAAAAAAAAAGGATAAGAGTATTGTTTGGTTAGGCCTTTTTTTCAAGGGAAAAAAAAAACTTACAAGTGGAAAGGCTTATAAGCTCATA